GAACAGGAAAGAGTGCATACTGAAATCATGCCATATGAAAGCATGCTTAAAAACTGACAGGAAGATAAAACTGGGAAAAATGATGTCTGGCAATTGTGCCTAAATTTTTTGCCAGAGCAGAAGAGCACCAAATGTGTGGTTCTCCCAACGTGTCTCACTTGTGGTCATTATTGAAGAGCTTGACAATATCAATATATAGGGGGGGAAAGGAGGGGGGAGCATACGGTGGATCCATTTGTATTTGTTGGGTAATGCTTTGATGCTAAGAGCGCTTTCCCATAGGATAGTCTTCTCTATTCTTGTGCTCTTTAGATCTGTTAGGATCGCAGTTCCTAGAATTCTCTAGCCAGCTGATCTCTGAATTGCAGACCTAATGCATTTAGAAGGCTCCAGGGTGGAAAAGTATTATAAAGTTACACTTGGGGGGCCATATTAGATATTAGATACTGATAATAAGTATCTTAATTAAAGAGCTTATGTAAAAGGATTTCTGAATGAAGACTAGCATGTCCTAGGAGACACAATAAGAAGAGACAGGTTCTATTGAGGTTTTCTTTACAATCTCAAAATAGAAGTCAGATGTACAACAGCAGCCCGTAAATTTGTTTAGGATACCGGTACTGGAACTCACACACAAATCCTTTTATATAAAACTTTCCTCTTTGCCCCAAATGTTGATTTTAGGAACCCAATTCAAGAAGGAAAAAAGCTTCTTTCCACATTTGGAAAAGTATACACTTGTGTTGACTTAACACAGGTTATCTGAAGATCTATAGGCAAATCCAGATCTACCTTCTGCCCAGCTCTGATATATAAAAGATACTACAAAACTCTGTCCTTGCTAGGAAAAACAGGTAAGACAAGCAAGACCCACTTCTATAACAGTATAAATATTATTTGTATTCTCAATTCAACGAAGATGTAATTTTTCCCTCAAATCTTCATTTTTACCATTATTTTATTATATTTATAAAATTCCTATACTGCTTTAAAATTGACTCTCCAAATACAGTAAAATAAAAATACATTAAAGCATAAACACTAACACGATCAAAATACATCCAATATTATATTAACCAAACTTTATAATATGCCAACCAGCTTCCAGAAGGCCCTTTAGAAAATGTGTTAATTGACATCAGCAAATTAATAGCTCAAGATGACCAGGAAGATTTAGGTAAATGTTGCCCTGAAAATACACGAGAGACAATTTGTAAGGTCACAGATAAGGGCAGCATTTTCCAATACACTTTGTTGCTTTGTGTGTAGTTGATCTGGCATGGAAACTAGCGTTTAAATGTTACTCTCAGTAAAATAAAATTGAATTACGATGGCCAATGTTAAAATAACCACTTGTTTTCCAACTGGAAGAAGACATCCATATTGTAATTGTATATACTGCAAAATATTATTCTTCAGAGTCTGTGACCTATAAATGATTTTAAACAATGTTTCTACAGCTTCATCAGTTACCCAGCACCAAAAAGGTTAATTAATCTTTGCCAATTAATTAAATTGCTTTTGCTTTAAAGCAACTATCAAAGCACAATTCAACCTGTTACATAAAAGGTGGACTAAAGTAATATAATCTATTCTACTCTTATCTCTGTGCCAAAATACTTCATGTTCTTTATTGCATGTTGACGGACACCTTGTCCTGGCCAAAAAATCAGATTGACTCAAGCTGTGTTCTCTTTTCTTGGCAAGGAGACCTTTGGAGCAGCCCTGCTGCCACCTACCGTAAATCAGGCTGTGTGTGAAGCCAGCATTTTTGTCTTAAATCTACACAGCTAATAATAGCCAAAAATCAGGAGTATGGTATGCCTTTTCAGACAAACACATTTTATTAAAATTTACTAAAAAATCACTTCTATCCTGTAAAGTTCAGTAGGCTTGAAAGGAAAATATTCAAAACTGCAGAGGAATCCAAGTACACAGAAGAGAAATAAATGATACACAGCACACAAATTCAGAATATTTGTATTACTTAGAAAGACCGCAGAATTTATTTCTTTGCAAAGAATGACTGTGGTACAAAATGGGGACATCTTATTTTGAAAGCAGTTTGCAAACCACTTTGCAACCTTCAGCATGCTACCTGGTACTGACTACCACCATCTTCAATTGTCTGGGGCTAAGAGCAATAGGCACAACTTTGACACATTTCATTACACCAACCTACATTATTAGGTTACATAAGAATAAACAAAATTCTATGTATTACAAATAAAGGCAATATGCCCTGTTTAATCTCTCCAGAACTGGAGTACCAAACTTAAAGATTTCTCTAATACAGTACTTACGAATTTTTGAGTTACAAACTTTCACCAATATGAACAAACCTGTCCGCAACTCTAACCTAGAAGGTGGGAGGGCGGGAGAAGGTGGGAAAGGGTTAGTTTACATGTGCATGTTTTTTATACTTGGTTGGACTTACAAACAAAATGGATTTACAAGCAGCCTCTTGGAGCATAACCTGTTTATAAACAGAGGACTGTCTGTACAGACAAGCATAAAAATCATACACCAAAACGAGAGGGAAAAGAGGTATTTGACAATTAAATCTCAAAAGTAGTTATTTTTGGTAGGGCCACAGAAGGAATAATTAATAGGACTCCAATCCAGAAAGTTTGATGTGTTTCAATTCCATTCTAAGTAGACATTAAAATGGAAACGTATCATTCCTCGTGCTTAAATGTAAACCCCATCTCTTCAACTACATGAAGAATGCAGGAGTAACAACCCCCTTGTCAACTCCTATTAAGATGGGAGGGAGCAAAGCACTTAAGTTCTTGTTAGAAGAGAGATGAAGGGTTAGCAAGACCAAGAAAAATCCATCCAGTTGGTGCTTATTTAATTCTGGTCCATTGTAAAAATGAACATCTCAAACACTGAATAAAGTACCGCAGCTTTCTAAATAGGGAAAACTTCCTTTATCAGCATCTGCAGAAAATATCAAACAGCTTTACATCCTGGGTATTTACTCAGAGACATCACAATTTTTTAAATAGCACTTACAATCAAATAGTGCAGCTCTGAAACTGCTGACAGGACATGAGGATTAAAAAGTAGAAATACATTTACAAAAGACATTTGTTTTTGCGAAAAGGATCATCTGTGTCAGTTTGATCAGAACTGGCTTGATGGTTTACAGCAAGAATGATCAAGCTACTTCCAGTTCCTAGGACAGTTTTAAGATGACCAGTATTTAAAAAGAACAATGAAAAATTGTTCACTTTATATGAGGACAGATACTAAAGGGGAGCTGAGACTGAGAGGATGGGGGATGAAAAGAGGATGGCAAGAAAAGAGAAGCAAAGGCTGAAGGGTAAGAGTGGAGAGGTGGTAAATAGAAAGTTGCCTTCCTATTTCTGAGAGCAATGACACAGAATGATTAGAAACCTGCTTCCTACTATCAGGATCAACCTTCAACAGCAGTAACAACTAGATTTTTTTCCATTTAGTCTGTTATAATAAAATTATTTTTTTTTAAATCTGCACAATTCTAAATTTAACCTTTCCTTTTATAAGCAATAAAAATCTAGCAATAAAAATCTAGCCAATCTAGCTAAAAGTGCATAAAGTGATGGAGGAACAAAAATGTTTGGAGAAACATCTAAAAAAAAAACCTAAACAAAAATTGTCCTAGTGATCAGATGACTTTGACCACAGCTATGATTATGTCTTAGCTAGCCAAGATAAATGAGTGTGGAACCACCTGGAATAATCTGCCCTGGATCTGACATATTACATTGGTTATGATTTGCTTTAACAACAGCCTACTGAGTAACTTAAAATGACTGGGATCATTTATTATGCTAAGCCATAAATTACAATTTAGAAATCACAATGGTTAAGTTTTAAACTTCATGCTAAGTCACAAACAGAATATCCTTCAATGCTCTTCCTTTTTCCTGCAAATACCTGAAGAAAAAATAGATTAAGTGCAAAATAAAATGGAAGAATGATTCAATTTTATGGGTGCCAAAATCCGCTTTCCTTTGTTCAGATGATAACATCCAAAAGGATGAAACAGAATGCAGGAGACCACTATGTTAAATCACAACAGCGGAGCCCTAGTTTAAGACTGTGTTTTAGAAACTCTGCTGTGAGATTCCCCATCACAGTATCAGTCAAAGAACCGCTATCTACCCAGGAGAGGAAGGAGCCAAAGTCTTAGTACAGTGTCTTTTCTTAACACAAAAAAATAAGAGGTCCTGCAAAGTCCAAGTGCTGAAGTAAAGCCAAGGATCACACCAAGCAACAGTTCAAAACTGGGCAGTGGGCAGTTTGTTTCTAAAACTGCATCTTCCTTCAGACAGACCAGCCAAACCACTTTAAAACTTGAGAGACTCAGAAGTTCTACCCACAAGGAACAAACCAACCAGCAAAAAAGAAACTCTTAGAGTCCATAGAAAATATTGTGTACTAGCCTGCCTTATGTATCTTAAGGTCATTTTTGCCCTACAAGAAAATAGAGAGAACTTTAGTAAAACTTCATTGGGGGTCTATCCCAGGTGAACTTGCAAATGGCTGCTTACAAGTATCTAGTAAAAGCCAATGGTGGCACAGAAACATGGCTAGTTGGCAGCAAAACACTAAAGAGAAGAATTTTTTTTTTTTTTTTGTCTGCGCTCAGTCATTGCTGACCCTGCAGTGACTGCTTGGACGAGTCCTTGCAGTTTTCA